AGGCAACAATGCTCCTGAGTCACTAGCCAGCCCATTTATCCATGCAGTCCTGGGTCCACAGGTCCACTCTCCTCCTTTTTATGTCCTGCCCTGACATTTATTTCCTCTGGAAAAGCACTGGGACTGTCTCTCAGCAGGACTGAGAGAGATGTACAGGGACATGAAAGCATCAAATATGCCCCATGCTCAGCTTCTGCCTCCTCTCAGTGCTGGCTTTGCTTTGTGAATCACAGACTTTGCTCCACATATTGGCCTGTCCAACACCCCAACAAAGTGGTGGGAAAAATTGGCCATGCACGATGCTCTCCAAAGAGCTGTGCGTATCAGACGAAACTGGACAGGTTTTATTAACAAAAGCCCATCTACAAAGAGAAGATGTGTTCCTTTCCAGCTAATATGTCTAAGATAAGCCAAAGATCATAACAAGAATAGCAATACACTATAAGTATTGACATCAGTGAGACTTACACAGCTAAAACTTTGCACAAGTCTGTGAACACGTACAGCAAAAAGTCTTGAATTACAAAAGAAGAGAAACAGAGCTAAACCAAGACCCATCCTCTGCTCTCTCCCGTGAGAGGAGGCATTGCTGGGAATTCCAGGGGCTGGGCAAATTAAAACCAGCATTTCAACCCAAACTACAAGCTTCTTGGCTTTTCTGTGTGTAAATCAGATCCTTACATTATCTCAGTGTCATTTTGTGGCTGAAAGCAGTTCAGCAACTATCAGTACAGCCAGACTGAAATTCAGCAGAACAGGATCCGAGCACTTCAGCTCTTAATGATTAGATGTTTCTGTGGAAATGAATCTTACAGAAAAATGAAGTTCGGCAGAAAGTTGACAGTGTGTGGAGACCGCAGAAGGGAGAGGAACTTTACAACTCAGCCTTCACATTTTCCACCTATAGGATTTCAACATTTGCTGAAGTTGTACTGAGGGCAGCTTCTTCACAGAGCTGCTCCCTCTGGGAAATATCACATTCAGCAATTCCTGAATTACAGTTTCTAATTACATTTTCATACTGTAATGCTGTCTGAAATGCACATTTGATGACAGAATAATTCGATCCATGTAAAATAATTACAAAATTACTGTTTCTCAAACCTCAACTCATACTCCCTGCTATTTAAGTAGATAAATTTAACAGCAGCAAAAGTACAGCCAAAACATAGTGTATTTTTTAAACTGTTATCTGACTATAACTGTCTGCATAGATTTGGCTCACCATGGAAGATTATTTCTAAAATATGACTACCAAAAACATTCCAGAACTAGGATTTTTGTTGCTTTAGCCTGGAACCAACAATCAGGTCAACTTTTATTTTGCATTCAGAGTACTATACACATGGCATCTGCATTTAATTGGAAAAGCAACTGTTGATTAAAATCTCTACTGCAGCTCAGTTATCATTTAAACCAGTTGTTGCTAATGTTGATTCAGGACATTAAATTAGCACAATGTAATGATTTTTAGCAGTGTGGAAACCAACTTCTGCAATATGTAATTTAAGAACCTGAAACTCCATGCTGCTACATCATTTCCCGCCGTCTGACAATTCCCCTCCTGTACAGAGGATTTTACACCCATCTCCCCGCCCCGAATTACTGCCTTCAGTAGAGGCTGGGACCTTTAAAAAAACCAGCAGAAATCTTATTCTGTTTGAAAAATGCAAGAAGGAGTCAGTTCTCTGCATTGCAAGGGGTTTTTTTTAGGTTTTATTATGCTTCTAGCCTAAATTTAAATTGTCATTGCCCATCAACTCAGCCAGATCAAGGTAGAGCACACTAAAGGCTTGAATGTGTTATTATTACCAGGCTGAAGGCATCAACAACTGGTGTCTGTTTTTAATTTCCCTGGCTGTATCCAGTTGTGTGAGAAGTGAGACCTCAATCCTGTTTTTAGCCAAGGTCTCTCCTAAGGTGAAGTGCTCCAGTTCCTCAGGAATCGCTGCTCTGCTTGCCCTCCTCCATGGACAAGGAGACTGTCGGAAGAGATCATCTCATGTGCGTGCAAGGGGGTGACATTTCCAAATGATATGAAGGCTGATGGGAGGTATGAGGGTCAATTTGACCTCCTCAGAAGAGGGTGAAGTGTCACCAAGCCTGTGTTCAGCTCATTTTTTTTTCCTTTATGTCAGTGGATTTCAAGTCCAATTAAGTTGGCAGTCTCACAGCTGTGGCATTGGGCAGAATATGAGGGATGGGCTGCAGCCACCTTCCCCCTCTTTTGGTGGTAGGAAGGAACCTACAGGTTGCTTGTTCTTTTCTCATGGTGGGTGAAACCACTGGCAGGGCAGAGACAGCGGGATGCCTAACCTTACATTGCCTGGCAATTTCACACACTCCCTAGGTAAAATCCATGCGTTTGTCAAAATGGTTTGGTACAGAGCTGACCATCAAAAATGAGAGCATGTAACCACTGAGCAGAGACATGCAGTCCTGGGATGACTCTCACACACTGTCCCCTGCCCTTCTCCTGAGGACAGACTTGTGCCTTCTCCTTCAGTTGCAGACTCTCGCACTGCCTGCAAGCTGCCTGCCTGACCGCGTTTTGGCTGTCCCCACCTTCTGGGCTCAAAGGAGCCCAGGCCAATGGGATGCCCAGAGTCCACAAAGACTCAGGGAGAGGGGACAGAGCTGGTCATTCTGCCAAGCAGGACACATCCCTGTGCAACCTCAGTGGCACTCACCAGCTTCCCCAGTAATGCTGCCTCTCCTGCTGCAACACGGTCAGGACCCTTCTGGTAAAATGTGAAGCAGTTTATCATCTTCCTCTCTCAGGTCAAGTTAGCGCCTTTTGAAGACTTGCTCAGTATCACTAAAGCAAGATATGTTCATTCCAGTTGAAGACAAGGAGGCTATTTTTAAAGTATTTCTAATTAATAGCTCTTGAGAAGTTGCATCAATTATTTTTCCCCTTGCAGCTGTTTTCAAGGCATCGAATGCTCCAGGACACTATATTCAAGCCAAAATAGATGAGATGAGGCCCCAACCCTCCCCAAGCATCATTGCCACACTGATAACTCAGGTCAAACCTGGCGGATGACTGCAGGTATAGATGGAGCCAAATCCTTTAGATGTGAAGGTGAGTGACTTTTCTTGAGTGGCAGGTGCTGCTCAGCTTGAATCTGTCCCTGTACTCCATGCCCCAGTGCCTCACCAGACTTGCCCCACCAGGTGGTGAACAAGCAGACCTTGGAGGGTGGTGGGTCACGTCGACTGCCTCCCCCTGCCCTTCCCTCCTACTCCACCGCCCAGACTCCGGGGGGACTCACATGCGGGTGGGGGGGACACAGACTGCCACTGGCGAAAACATGGCTCCCCATGCCGGCTGGGGAGCAGCTGTGCCCAGCCCAGCCTAGGCGGATCACCTGGCGAGGATGCCCAGAGCACCACTCCCCGTGGGAAGGCTGTGCACGGGGTGCTAGTACCTCCACACCGAAGCTGTGAGGCTCCTGTAAACCTTGGTTAAAGCCACCTATGACAAGTCACTAGAGATTCCTCATGCGCTGATGCACTGACATCAGCTGAATAATTTAATAAAGAATATTTCAAATATTTCAGCCCCCCCAAACATTGATGTTTTTAGGCACGAGAGTTAAATAGGAAAGAACAGATGAGATAACACCAAGTGAAATGGTTTAGAGGTTTCAGATGCATTTATCCTTGCTGTTCTGTTAAGAATGCCAAATGCAGTGAAATCCAGAGCATTAAGCCGTAACTTTCCTTACGGAAGTGTTTTCAGTTTTAATCTCTGCTTTGGCTCCCTTTCTGAAACAATTACTTCTGCTGCATTTGGTAACATTACAATATTTTTTTGCAGAATTTTGTACCTTTTATTGCGCTGTGCTTTAATTTTTTTTGTAGCGCCGTGACCGTTTCAGACTGGCAGCTGCTTTAGAAAATCATTACTATTATCAATAAACCCTTTGAACTTTGGGAGGAAGGGAACAGAAGTATATAATTAGAGAAGATAAGAATGATCTAGCATACTTTTTCCAGGAAACAACGCACACGATGCTTCAGTGTAATCTGTTCTTAAAATGAATCTATATGTTCCCACACAAGCAAACTCAGACTGTGGCACTAAACTTCAGGAGCCTGGGATCTCATTCCCCACAACAGCCCCCTCAGAGAGGACAATACAGAAACAGAACCAAACTGCCTCTTCTTTTTACAAAAAGACCCAAATAGCATTTCATTTTTCAATTACTGTGATGCTGTTCATGCTGCCGTTCTTTTTTAAACTATTCTAACTGCTCTCAACCCACAACAGAAAGAAAGAAAAAAAAAAAAAACCAACCCAACAAACCACCAAGCTGTGCATATGCGTGTGAGAAAAAGGGTAGAAGTCTGTGTTACAGCAGTGTTGCTCTCTTGTCATATTTCAGATAATTTTTCAGGAAGCTCTTGATCCTTTCCTTTGTAAACACTACAGAGTGAAGAGTGCCGCGTGCCCCAGAGGGACAGAAAGCCCGGGGAGTGTGTGGGGTGCAGGGACTCCGTGTGAACAAAGATGATTTAAACACTCAAACTTTGGGAGTTGGATTTCAAGCTGTTCCTAGCTGCATCGGTTGCTGGCTTCCCCTCACTGAACACGTTGGGTACAAACCCGCCTGAATTGGACAGCACTGAAAAACTACAAGCTCCAACAGAGGTATAAAGCTGTAGAGATGCCCAAATCAACACAATACCTAAATGCAATTTCTTTTAACTCCCAGATGCATTAGGCTAGGATTACTCATGTTCATTTATATTCCTAAAGTGACAAACGTGAACAATATCATTTTATTCCCCTTTCATGGATCATTAATCTAAATTTAACTCTGCTTTGCAGTCTGCACACAGAATTAGTAACTGGAAGCTGCTTTGCATTTATCTGATAGTGCCGGGCTTGTTCATCAAGGCAAACTTCCAGCCAAAACAAACAAGTGAAAAAAATCAGTCACGATAAGCTGCTTTCTATACTACTTTTTTTTTTTTAAAGGAAAAAACAGTACCTGACGAGAACATAAAGCAAATGGTTACCTCACACTGCAGAAATGCAAGTTTTTAATAGTCCATGCTCTGGCAGCCCCTGAGAAACAGCAGCGGCGGCGACGGCGGTGGCGGGGATAAATCCAGCATCTACTAGGTTCTCACAAGGCTTTGGCTGAGCGGCCGAAACCGCAGGCTCTGCCTCCAGCTGACGTCAAGGCGGCTGTCACATGGCCAGGCGCAAGCCCAGGGAGCACTGGTTGTCCTGGCAACCCCAGCACTGCTCCGAAATTATTTCAATAGGTCATCTGTCATACTGCGCGCACATTGGAACCATCACGGGCGCCCGGACAACCCAAACACCAAGGGCTCGCTGGAGCTGCCTGCACCCCGGGGTTGGTCCCATCACCGACGCTGTCTTAACCTTATCCCCTTAAGAAAACGTGCCTCCCTCTTCCTCCTGCATCCTCAGTCTCCGGCAGAAAAAAAAAAACAAAAAAACAAAAAAAAACAAACCAAAAAAAACCCCACAACCCTTATACATCTGGTTTGCCCAAGGAAAGGGGCAAAAGTGCTACCCTCCATGCATACCAGGGCACCTCAACGATGTGCAGCTGGGTGCTGCTCCAGCTAGCTAAAATTAGGGTCTTTCAAAATGACACACAGCTGAGGTTTTATTCATAGCCACAGAGATGCACATTTGGTCGCCAGCGTCTCTGCCCAGATTCGGGGTGAGGCAGAGGAAGTCCTCGCCGAAGCGGTGTGGGGTGGCCCCCAGAGGTGCTTGGCCTCACGTTCCTGAGCCTGGCCACCGGCCCCTCCTGCTTGCCTGCCAGAGATGCTTCTCCTGCTACTCCTGGCAAAACGTCCTGGGAAGGGGAGCGAAGCAGTGCCTGCCTCCACCTGGCTCTGACTCACCTCTGCAGCCTTATCCTGCAGGCAGAGACACGACACCAGTGTCTCAGATTTCCTTGTAACTCTAGCTAAAACCCACTCCTTTGCCGAAATTTCATATTTTTTCTCTCTGCACATCACCTTAGCAGAGCCCCACAGCCCATGCACACACCAGGGGCAGGGTGCAGGAGAGGCCAGGGGGAGGGAGAGACTTTCATCTGCAAGAAGCAGGGAGGAAAGGCAAAGTGTCAGCAACAAGAAAATACTCCTGTGCTCATCTGAGTCAGTGATGGTTCCTGACTGGTGCCCAGGATATGAGATACCAGGAACAAACCACAGTAGATGGCTCTGATGAAGGTGGAAGCAGATATAAAGCCATGTGGGATGTGCAAAATGTAAACACTGGGGCATCCCCAACTGAAGTTGGCTTTGGCCTCTTTGCAAGGCAAAAGAGAAAAAAATGAAAAGACAACCTAGGATGGGGCATAAACAGGTGCTGGGGAGGGCTTCCCCCCACCCAAGGCAGAGGGAGGTTGGTGGGGTCATGGGATTGGCAGGCGAGGGGACTGCTGAGCCTGATCATCCTCCTCTGCATCTCTCTGCTGAGTGCAAGAGCAGCAGGTGCTTGGGATATTTAGCACATCATCAACTACAGCCAACGCTGGTTTATGTAGCATTTAGTGAGACATGTGTCTGTGTCTCCAGCACAGCTTATAAACCACCTTTCCAGCACTGCTGTGGTGCTGGGGCTTCCTGGGGCTGTTCATATTAGAGGGCAAAGCCCCCTGGGATCAGGAGCTGCCCTCCAGGCCTTGGTGCAAAGCAGTGAAGAGGGCTTACAATAGAGTAAGGCGGTCCCCACTGTCTAAAATTTGTGCCTTAAAAAGAAAATATTCACAATTAGTTGGGAAACCTGTGACCATTTAACAGAACACGAATAATGCGGTGAATTTTAAAAACTCCACTGACTGCTACATGTGTTACATATAATCACACATATTAATCCAGTATAGAAGGCTGAAACTTCGTGTCAACACCCACCAATAAAATTGTACCATAACATACAGATGTATTTTTTCACTGGTACAATACAGCAGAAAGTTTGGGATTGCAGTTTGAAAAGATATCCCTCAACACTGCACAGTGCACTACTTTCTATTTGTCTGTCAAAAATGTGTGCACCTGGAGAAGATTTTAATAGATTTTAACGGTTTTGATTCTTTTAAAGGCCCTTTCACAAAAGTGGACAATACAACACATGCATTTCAATGGTCACAAAACATTTCAGTAGCCATTTTGCTGATGCCCTAAAGGCCTGGCAGAGGTGGCCAGGCAGGGTCCCCCTGGAGCTTCCCACAACAGCCGTCTGGGGACCCACACCTGCTCTGCTTCCACATCAGTCCCATCCTCCACACCTACAGACACACAAGTGTGCAGAACACTTCTGTCCTCCAGAATAATAAAAAAAACCCAAACCTTTCATTCTCCTTTACAGGGTATTTCTGCTGCAGGGCAAGACCCGGATGGATTTTTAAACCATGCACAATGTTTATAAGGGCATACTAATTATATGTTGTGAAGGCTAAAATTTTCAGCCATTTGAAAGATGCTAAGTGAAAAAACAGAATGACCAATGCTCTGAAAAGCATATGATAATGGCAGCCTGAAGTGTGCTGTTCCCAGTTCCCAGGGCTCGGCAGAGATCCCACTGCGCATCCCCACTGATGGTGGCTGGGGATGACTCCTCCACAGGGAGATTTTCTGAATTTCTGACTGAAATCTCTACTTCTCCCCAACATTTGCTGTAACCCACAAAGCTTTCCAAGACTAGGGGCAAGGGAAACCTTACACCATGCAGGTGGTCACAGAAATGAAAGCAACAGCACCTGTCCCTCAGTGTCAAAGAATCCTGCTAAAAGTGGCAGAAAAGCCTATATTCCCTGAATTAGCTTAACTTTTCCATGATAAAACCCCAATATCAAACCAGTCTCTTCTGTAATGTCAATCAACCAAGTGAGCACAAAGCAATGAGACACAGGCACTGACTGGAAAAATACATAAAAGATGTTTAAAGGCTGAAGCCTGCTGAGAAACAAATGTGTTGCATCCACCTGGGACCACAGTACAAAAACTTCCATTCCTCCTCCTGCTATGGGAATGCGATGCTTCATGGGGAAAGGTCTTTGTCCTGCATTTGGGACCTCCTCTATCCCTCCTAACCCTCCATCATCTGGGGCCCACAGTGGGCACTACCAAGGGACATGAGTTGTCTCCCTCACCCTTAGCATGATGGGCAGTCTACCAAAGCTTCACTGACTGCAGTAATATGTTTTATATATATTATAATAATATACACATAGATATCTCTAATACCTAAACCTGCCTGTAACATACATGTATCAGGACCTACGTGATAACTTACACACAAATACAGTGCTTCAAGGTGGGACACAATCCAGCTTTTCCATCCATACTTATTTTGGATCTGCAGAGCTAACAATAGATAACATTTGTTTGCCCATAAAATGGTAGACACGCAGGAAACAGAAACTCTATATGGGTTGATCTTTGAACCCACAAAAGACTAGATCTTCCCTGGTGTCAATCCCCTCTCTCAGAAAGAAGCCACATCCATGTAAGCAGCTGAGAATCTACTCTTGGCTTTCCTCTTACCACAACACCTAGAAAAGTACTTAATCTTGAAATCTTCCCTCAAACCTCCATGACTTTTTACTCCTTTAAAAATAAAAGGAAGAAAAAAAGCAAGTAGGCATGATTTTAATGTGTTTTATATATATATATATTCATATATATATATACACACACATAAAACAAAGCCCACATGTCTTTTGCTGGCCTCCGCATCTTGCTGTTTGAAAGAGTGGCTAATGTTTCCATTGGCATCAGTTACAGAGATAAAAAAGAGACAGAAACAGGGCTCAGCAAAATGTTGTCATGTTGACTTTTGCTCTTGCAGAAAAACAGGGTGGAAAAAACCCCACAGGAAAAGACATTTTAGTTTTGATACAGCTGACATGGCACTACTAGCACAAGAGGGTTTGAAATAAAAACAAGAAGGGAAAGTGGTTCAGCCCACCCCACTCACTGATGGTGGCCCAGTGAAAGAATTATTGTTCGAGTCAAATCAGGTGGAAGATGGTTTCCCAGGAATGCAGCACTGTAAGAAAATCCTATGCTCTCCACATATCTGTCATGGCTCTTCAGTGCCATTGATTCCTGCTTCCAGGGAGGATGAATGACTCCCCTTCAGAAGCAATAACTTTGCTTTCCTGTACAGCACCAGGGGCTTTGGGGGATTCTCCCAGTGCCCTTCCTAGCAGTGATAAAAGCCACCAGACCAGAGTGCTGGGAGGGTGTGAGCATTGTCAGAGAGGACCCCTTCCCAGACAAAGACTTCTGATGGGTGCTGCTGAGGTGTGGTGGAGAGTTCTTGCACCATAAGCTGCCTTTTTGTGATATATTTTGTAGAAAAGATCACTTGGTCTGCAACATTTTTTCTGGTATTTGAGCCTAAATAATACCGTCATCTATCCGGAGGTGGTATTGTGTTGATTTTTCTTTCTCCTGAGATATGCAATAGCTTTTCACATGACCTTTTAAAAGTTTTGCTTACAATTGCCTCCTCATGGAAGCTGATCACATTTGGGGCTGATGCATCCCTCCTGCATCTCCTCCCCTATGCTGATGTCCCCACATCCTTTCCTTTCTCTGCATGTTCTCCCAGATTTCCCTTGCAACACCCTTTCCCTCATCCTTGTTCTGCACTACTCATTAGTTAGACAAGAAAAGCATCATGAACCATGAGTAAGATGAAACTCACTTTCTGCCACCTTGCACATCTTCCAGGACTACCTCTACTTTGGCAGCTAAAAGGAGTCGGGACCCATTCCCTAGCCCAGAGATTTGATGTCACAGCACCACTGGATCAGAGCAGCACCAATCATCTCCCCCAAGAGAGTGGCCTCATCCCTTTCGACCTGTTGGGAAGGACCTCAAGCCTGAGCTGTCCCCTAAACCACATTCAGGAGAGCTAGAGGAGTTGAGGTCAACCACTGCATCAAACATTTGGCCTCTGGGCAGTAGAGGTGTGCTGGATGGGAATCACCCTTTCAGGTATCTCGCCTCACTGGCACTAAAGCACCAGGAGACCAGCTCAAAAACTTAAGAAAGCAGATGAAATACTCTTAGCCGGAAAAAAAAAATCTCTTCTCTAGCAATCATGATCAGTACCTCCTAAAGGACCAGCCAGAAGATTTACTTTGCTGCTGAATG